TTAAGTCTAACCCAGAGGTAGCTCAAACTCACTATGCGAAACGTTGTCAAGGGAAGGGTGTTCAAAAAGTTGATAAATTAATGTTCAAGAAAATCACATAACTTGTAGTTTTCTATGAAATCGTTGACTTTTTCGTGCTTTATATGTGCACTAAGAAACCTTGACTTGCACCGGTTGGAGAGAACCACAAAAATTTGCTCCAAACGCCATACGTTGGTGACAGTTGCCGACGGAGCACAATCGGGACAAGCCACCTGCCAACTGCTTACCTTGAAATATACACGACAACTTTTGTAGGACGACCATAAGGTTTGTATATTCGCGAACTGACGTTTGAGTCACTTTATGTCAGTGCTTTCAAGAACGTTGTGTAAGTTCTTCTGTCCTTTCCTTTTTTCTTCGCAAGGGTTTTCTTTATGTTCTTGAATTTCTTGTGTCTGGATGGAGTCATACTCAGTTGAGTGAAATATAAGCATTAATGACAAAACAGCAAAGACCCAAAACGACTTGAGATTCCATTATTTCGCACGGACAAGCCGTCCTTCTTCAGGGGATTTAAGTGGCTGTCCACCCAAGAGCGGTCCGGCGTGTTTGGGATCGCCAGTAACTCTTCCCTTTATTTTTTGTGGGTGAAAAGGACTTAATGAGGAATGATTAAAATCGAACTAATTTTTTTCAAAATCCTTTTCTGTGCTTCGCTACAGCACAAAACTTCTTTCCTGTCTGAGAGCTCTTTTTCAACCTTATTCGATGGCCGAAATTCGGTGATTTTAAAAGTCGCGCTTCTTCGTAACGGATAAATATCGCTAAATTCTACATATAGTACGATGGATTTAGCTGCAGTTGACTTGCCCTATGAAGGAATATGGAATAATTTGAAGCAAAATTAAATTAAATTAATAAAATCAAACACAAGCCCCTTTGCAGTTTTTTTCCCCCTTGACAAATTCTTCCAAAGTAAAAGCTAAAATCTCCAAAGCGGTACAAAAATCACAGGTAAAATGCACTTCACAGCAAATATCTTACCTTATTCTGTCAGAAAATAAAGTCAAAGGTGCGGGTATCGTTCTGGGTTGGACGTGATCAAACGTTTTTAAGAGCCTCTTTTCGACATTATTTGCATAGATTTGCTCGCTTAACGGCTCACACACCACGACTTTAATTTAGTAGATATTTTCTCAGCAGCTGAGAATGTTGTTGTGTATCCTCAAAATAACGAACATGTGTTTTCTTTTCATTAGCCTCTGTGAGTTTGTATAAATGAAAGCCGAAAAAAATGCCATAAACTGACATTCTTGATCAACCCGTCGAATATGCAAATCGTGCTTGTCTACAGCCAGGTTGTCCATTTCAGCTACGTACGGTTATTAACTTCTTCTCAAATGTAACCAATCTTCAGCTTGGAAACTCAGCGACCGGATACCCTTTTTAAAATAGAAATTTATCTCATATTCCATTTGAGTTTCTTTTTCCGTTTCGAGCATTTGACATGATTTGAATCATTGTTGAATTCTCGCATCCGTGTTTATCCCTCATTTATCATGAACATGTCGGATTCTCTCACCTCGGGTGACTTTTCTCGTGTAGCTCTCGAGAAATTATTAGTCAATTTCATGCTTCAATGATTGAAAAAAATTACAGTTTTAACATACTGTTGTTTGTCAACGTAATAGCGGAGCTCTGGCGCGCGAAGCGCGCCTGCGGAGCACCATGGGTAAGTAAATCTACCCATCCCAGAAAATTTGGTAATCACGTGACCGTACACCGCCCGCAGCCCGCCCGTCCGTCCGCACCACAGGGAAACCAATGCTCAATCTCACACTTTCTAGCTAGTTTGGGAGCACAGGAACATTGATGTTGCACACATGTTGTGATCAATTGACAGCTGTCAAAACAGGGTATCCGCTGACCAGTATCACTTGACCGTATCGCGGGCTCAGGTGTCGACTCATCGAGAACGAGTATCTTTTTGGAGTTATCCGCTGACAAGTTACTAGTTTTCAAATGATTGCAGGCTCAAGTTTATTTTTTTAAAATTCATATGAAATATGTTGTGTTTTATTTGTGCCTCACAATTAAAATTTTGATTTCAAACTGACCTCGGAAGCTAAAACTCAGCCAGTTTTTATAGGAAGGGAAGACATGCCAGTTGCTTTTGACTTTTGTCACCAAGGTCACGCGTTGGTCACGCTCTAAGTCCAATTTTTATGCTCTGATTGGTCAAAATTTGACAGGTGAGTTCATGCGGAAAATTTATGCAGCATCTTGTAACTTGTTATCTTGACAGAGTTTTGTGTCAACTTGTGATGTTTTTAACTGTCTTTTCCCTCTGAATGTGCAAAATGACATTCTGCTGCTATCAAGAGTCTTCTGTTACAGTATTCATAGGTAGTTTGTCTATTGAGTTTTTGGTTGAGAAATACGTCGCTTGTCAAAGTTGGAAATCCGATTTCGGATGGCATCGTTTTCGTTTTTCACCTTGCTTGATGCGTAAGAGGGATGAAAAGTCTAAAGCGATTCTGGCCTTACTTGATAGTTGTCAGTGCATCTCGAATGGTAAGCCTGAGTAATTATTGTATTTTATGTTAATGCAGTCGGGCGTACAGTAGAACCCCGCCTTACGACCACCCCGTTTATAAGACCACCTCGTTATTACGGCCATATTCTTCCAAACCAAACGTAAAAACCATTGAGTCATTTTATTATTTTGACGACCCCGTTAATGCGACCACCTCGTTATTACGACCAGGATTTTATGGCCCAACGGTGGTCGCATTAACGGGGATCCACTGTAGTTTATGCGCCTATTGAGTTTATGCAGAATTTATGCACGTTTGTAAGATTTGAGACAATGATCTGACCGAGTATCAGGTTTGATTATAAGCTTATAGAACTTTAAAAAGCCTTTAGACATTTTCTCACCGCAAATAGAAAGAAAACGTTCCAAAGAATATTTAGTTATAATTCTGGCTGTAAAAGAAAGCTTTGAGCGATTTTTTTGCCTCGAGTTCATCTTTGAAAAAAGCAGACACCGGGAAGCCGGCTTAAAACATAAACAAGGATTTTTAGAGACACTTTAAGAGTGGCTGTCTGTAAGGATCGAGAATCGGCGGTCAGCGACCCATTTGGCGAATCCCTGATATTTTGCCCAAAGTTAGCCTTGGGTAGACTATTTTCAAAAATCATATTCAAAAGTTCCAACGATTTTGTTTACTTGGGAAATTTGGGAAAAATTAAAAGTGCGGTCAAAATGCGGTCAAATTGCGGTTTTTTGGTTGATCAAAAGGTGCGATGATGAACCTCCGCCGAGTCTTAAAATGAAATCAGTTGACCTTAGAATTTCAAAGCAATCAATCTTCTACACTATCAATGTTTTAATCTTTTCAAATAGGATAGTACAATGGTTTTTCAGGCCATTTAGAAAACATCTTCGGAGACCGCTGTCGATGGCAGCAAAATGAAGCTAATATTCATCAGGATAAAAATGTTCCTGGTATGTCAGTTTTTAACAATTAAGCATTGCAGAACTAAAATATAGGTCTTAAAGATTTACCAAGTAAAGTTTCAAGGTCGAACTCGGAACGCTTCTCTTCGAAGGAATCGAAACTCTGAGCAATGTTAACGTGCAAAAATGGCGCTGGATTTATAACAAAAATGTAACATTATAGTTACAATCACTTGCGTTAAAATATCAAACTAAATTTACCTTTTACAGTTTTAAGTTTGCCGCTTATAGAAATATCGAAGAGCTCATAGGAGACACATCCAGTGCTTTGAACAGATCAGTTTGATGTAGATAGTCCACTTTGGTTATCGCAAGGTAATGTAAACAAACCTGATAAATCAGTTAAACCAGCCGCCTTTGTGTCAAACTATCCATGCATCCAGGACGTTTTCCTACATATTTATCGTTCGCCAAGGTTTCTTGAATGAAATAGTAATTGTGTGACTTTAAAAAAAACGAAGGTAGTTTGCTGGAAAGACCGTTGAAAGTTTGGAAATAATTAGTTATTACCGCGACAATAATAATAACCGGCAAAGTGCCACACATTATAGCTTTTGGCGGTATTTAATCATACAGGCAGAAACAACGTTGCGGAAAGCCATTTTCCACTACAGGGAGAGTTTGAATCCACGTTAGTTTTCACAATTTCAAACAGTTTTCGTTTTTAGTATCTGAAACACGTGAGGCTACATGTGTTAAGAAATCGAAACAAACGGCATTGTCAGAATAAACCGTGTGTTCGAGTCCAGTAAATGTAACGCAATCTCAGTTACCCTCTCCCTTCCACCCAGCGTGGTCTTAAAACTTAAACGAGTTAATTTTGCTCAAATTAGTATTTTTCTAAAACGAAGTATTATTTTGAGGCTCCGGTAGGAATAATAATATTAAAGAAACAACAACAACAACAACAATAACTTCCCAGCCGCGGGATAAACGTTTTGACCTGTTGTCACGATGGGGGTGGGGAAGGAGTACGTTTAGAGGTAAAAATTTTTCGCAGGGTATTTTTCAAAGTAAGATCTTTGTTTTAGGTCTTTCTAAACGCAGTTATAAAATGAATTTCATTACTACATCCCGGTAGGGGAGCTTTCTTTGATATTGTTTTTTTTTGGTTTTGTTTTGTTTTGTCATTGACTCTCAGACTTGGGGAGGAGGGGGTAGTCCCTTACTTCCTGTGGAGGCGGCTCCGATCGCGATATTCTCATTACGTAAGTGGCTTTAGTTCAACCCCAAAACAGTTCCCTTCATTTTCATAGTTAAAAAAAAACCTAAAAGGTACTGCTACAGCTGCGGTCAAACCCTAGGCGATACCACTCCACAGATTTCATCCTCTAAAAGGCATCAACCTAAGAGGGAGAACCTGGGAACGAGGTTGTAAAATGTACAAGTAGAACCTTGGCAATTTTTTGAGGGAGTACCCCTTCTCCCCGTTTTCAACCCGTTTTATAAAACTGGTTGTCGCTAAAACACTTCCAGGAAGCTATTAATAAAAGAGTTACTTTCGGCATGTGCACTTTTTGGTTATTTCCTCTAAGAGTGCCAAGTATGGAGCCTTCTTGCGCACAGGCGGGACAGGTGCATTAAGGCCGAGATCCTCGCACAAGCGCTGAAGCATCGGTAGCTTGAGGACTTTCAAGTTACCACTGAGCGCCATCTCACACAGGTTGTACTGATCGTATACCAGAGGATGGTTGAGCTGAATGGTTTCAACGACCTCCTTCGCTGCACTAAAGTTAGCTTCCTCTTGAGATGCCCGGATATCGGCTTCATCTGCTGGGTCCTTTTGCCGTAGTGTAGCGCTTTGCCTTGAAAAGAAGGACGCAATCTGCAAGCTGGTTAAGAATTCTGAGGACTGGAAAAGTCGCGCACCATCTGCTCCACGGGCGCGTCGCATTTCCCTCGCCACAACCTCGGCGTCAAGCTTGTTTGACCGATAGAGAATTTCGCTAGTAAGTAAGACTTTTGCTTTTCGCTGAATCTATACGCCTTCTTTGCTGCTCTGAGGGCCCATCCCTCATTTGGTACAAAGTGACCCTCCTGGTGAGCAACTTGGGCTTTAAGAGAGGGCAATATGCCAACACCTTCTTCCAAATGGGTCTTGTATCCCATTTTTGCTAAATCCATTAGAGAATATTTCTCCCCGGGATCGGGAACATTTTTCTACAGACAGATGTTTCTCTAAAGCAGACACTCTTTGGAACACACGAACGCAGCCGTCTTGAGGACAGGAATAAACCCCTGTGGACAGGTCACTGTCTTCCAAAACGCCACCAGATGGCTCGGCCACAGTTGCTGATGTTGAAGCTGTCTGTCCAACCTGTTTTTCAGATTTACATCGGAAGGAAGTAAAATCTCCTTCGGAGAATGATTTCTGAAGTACTTGGTATCGAGGACCTTGGGTAAATAAATTAATACCAATAAAGAGTTGTTTTCTGATTTCTTTTTCAAATCATTTATAAGTTTTTAAAGCAAACATGACAGACATAAACGTATGTTCCCAATACATGGGTATTCATATCTCAGTTAGTAGAGCGCTGCCGCGCTAACGTACGTAGAAGTTACGGGTTTTCCCGTTTAAGCCACCAAAAAAATTGAACCAAATGGTAATTCTTTAAATTGCTCTTACAACTGCGACAATCATTTCTTCATTTATCAGAACCAAGAATATTGCGCGGGACTCCAAAGGTATCTGATACATGTACTTGCAGATAATTATTGTATGGTAAAGGTCTCCAATAAAGTAAGGGTCTTACACTTTTGAGTTGCATTTTAATACAGAACGTAAATTTAGCGGCAACTCATACATTAATTCTCAGTAGCTCACTTTTAGTTTTAATTCCCATACTTACTTGATGAAGGTCCTGGATTGATGATTTTTCCGCGACCAACACAATACGCACGCCAACAGGTAACAGACTCTGTAGAGCTAAACTCAAAATTGTTCAGTTTTGTAATGCCAGTAATAGTTTGCCCACTGTCAGGTGTTTCGATAATCGTATCAAGGGAAACAACTCTTACACCTTTCAATCCACCATGCGATAATAATGCGTCTTTAAGCTCATCGGCAGTGCAAACATCATTGCCTTCATCAATAAACGCCCTGATATGTCTTTTACAGCTTGCAGCCAGCCGGTCTGCTGCCCCTTTTCCGCCTTGGGGATCGCTAAAATCTACGCGGACTACTTTTACTCCAGTGCTTGCTGCCATCTCTGCATGCTAGTATCGTGCGAGTGGAGTGGTAACAGCCTGCGTTGTCTTGTCTGAAGTAGGCTTTGCTTATCTCATGGTGCTCGTGCTTGAGTGTTTCCAAGACATGATGCATTATGGATGCCACAGCTGAACTCCCCTGGCTGCAGGACTGAACTGCGTGGATAAAGGCTTGCCACTGTAGTTCCTCCTCCTTCCATCCGTACACCACCGATATGTGCCGTGATAACCCACGCTTGCCAAACCAGTCCGTTTGGGACTCACGGTATCTTTGAGGAAGAAACTTCATCGCCCAGTCGTTGACGATAAAAACTGTCTCCTGATCAAGAGCGTCGATAGCGTCCAAACGAGCCTGGTCCTGGTGAGCCGACCTCAGCAGATGACATTTCCATGACTGGATGGCAAGCACAGAAGAGTTGACTAAGAACAGGGCCTCTTCTTTGTCATCTTGCGTGGCAAACGATGCTCTTTCTACTGCAGAGGAAATGTTCTGTAGAGTTGAGTGCAGGATCTCACATTGCTCACAGCATTCTTCGTGTTTGTGGCTACACTGCTGCTGCAGATCAGGGATGGTGGAGTCACTTAAGGCAAACACACTGCAATGACTCGCAATCTCAGATGAAGAACACACGTGGACCTGTAAGATGTTTAAAACACATAGCATTTATTGTGACAAATAGTGACAATTAAAATCATTCTTTAAATTTTATACTTAAAATGTTTGTAAAGAATGGTTAAATTCTTTCCAATTACTGTATTTATTCGATCAACCTCCCTGGGCGCTTATTAAATTTTTGGACCTTGAGAGTGGGCGCTTATTAAATTTTCACCATTTTCAGCAAATGTAGTATGTTTATTTTGCAACAAAACAATAAATGGTAGTACCAAACGCGAAGACGTAACAAAAGAAGGTTTCTGTAAAATACTCTGAAGAGAACTCCGCCTTCGGGGAAGTCTCTTGAGTACTTATTCAATATTTTTCGGGGGGTTGGAGGGGGAAGGGGGTGGGGTGGTGGTGGGCGCTTATTTTAGTTTGCGTGGGAGGGAAAGGGGGTGGGCACTTTTTCGAGGCTGGGCGCTTAATCGAGGTGGGCGCTTTTTCGAGGTTGGGCGCTTATTCGAAAAAATATAGTATTATTATTTTTAATTAAGCCTTACCTTAAAATCACTTTTAAGGTATAATTTTGAACCCTTAAGCAATTCCACGTACTACAACTCCCACTCTTTCCCGTGACCGAGCTCTCCAAGTCGGCGGACTAAATTCTCTAAGTCTTCAAAGGCACGCGCACCGTCTGCGGCGACGTAGTCTAGTCCTTGGAGAGATTTTCGGACCGAGGCCTTGCATTCCTCCAATACACGAAGCATAGTACGCTCACTGAATGGTTTAAAGCCAGTTTCGTGGCAGTACTGAGCGTATTGACGTGCTATTCTTTGGGGTATCATCGTCCTTATGACGTTTGGTATCTCAACAAGGTGGCCAGAAGAGAGTTTCAACGTTTTCTGCCCAAATGGTAGATCCTGCACCAAATGCGGGCTTGTTATATACGATAAAAAATGGTCAAGTTGCTTCAGATCAACCTTTATCCTCGGCGAAGGGTGGTGCGTTGTGGGAGCCCCGCTACCATACTGTAAGCGATGCAGGTTGGCCTTCTTGTCTCCCACCCTTGAGATTTACCGTATGCCTCTGCTAAGGCCTGAAGATAATTCTTGGACGTTTGTGATAATTCATCAAGTTTAAGAGCTTTGTTCATGGCAGAGGACGAGACGACCGCTTGCCAAAGAGAACCGGCATAATTAGGTGTAAGATATTGTAGGACTGAAGAAAAGATCTCCACTGTCCTTTTGGTGTATCTCTTCTTAGTGCTCTCTCCAGCTTTATCCCATTCCATCCAGGGCTGAGTTATTGGCGGGATGTTCTTCGAAACCAGATATTCGTTCAACTTTTTGCGAGGTTCTTGCATAGTGGTGGGGCCTCGTCACTCGTGGAAGAAACAAGACTTCCAGTATCCGGACTGAGGAACGTCTCATCATCCCGCCCTCTTGACGATATCTCCAGCCTCTTCAGTTCAGTTGCAAGGTCATCGGACGATAACTCACCACTAGTTGTTTCTGCACTTGAACGGCCTGTTTCCCCCTCTACCTGAAACAGTTCAAACAAATATATTGTGTAATTACTATAAAGCATGATAAAACGTTTATTTTGTTTTATTTTATTCACAAGCCAACACCCACACAAACCCGTTAAGAACTGAAAGAAAGAAATGAAAAGAAATCCCCTAAAGTAAAAAAGGATTAAAAAGGAAATGAAAGAATGAATGATGAATTTGTTTTTTGAAAGCAAAACATTTCATACCATCGTTAAAGGAGCCACTTAAACGAACCATTTACACTAGTGTTTCTTATTACTACTTACCAACAAATGGGGCTCGGGTAACTCTTGCAGGAGCGAGACCCCGGGGACGGGCTCCACCCCACCTGAAGCAAACACTAGAGTTTGGTTGGGCATGGCCAGTTTGCTGATACACTCGTTGCATTGTTTACAAATTGCTTTATTAAAATGGAGAAACAAAAGCAAAACAAAATGAACAGACGAACAGAAATTAATGTCAATATACTGTATAAACAAATACATTTAAAACATACATAGAAAGAAGAGAACTTCCTGCCTACAAGACCAATAATTTTGAATGAGGACCGCAAGGCTAGGATTACCCGCACCCCCAAGGCAAAAATGACCCCTGCGTAATACAAACAAGGGACACGTGATAATTAATACATCTTAAAAGCGCGTTTCCCTCTCCTTGCACGCTCTCTCCTCCCTTGTCACTGTCTCGGGGAAATTTCTTACCGTTTCTTTAATAGAGTGCTAGCAAACTCCTCGCCTTGTGCGCCACCTTATCTGTCATTCTTAACCGTAAAAAATTACCATTATCTAACCAATCTTCGCGGAAAAGTCTCCAACTTACGTGATCCAACTGGAATAAGTGTGTTCGTGGCTTTGAAAATAAACGCCGACTTCAAGCTATCCACACGGTGGCTCCCTTTAGCAGTTGTAGTTTTATGTACTGCTAATTCTTTGGGTACTGTACACATGGTCTTCCCTGTCCTCCAGCGGATGCCGAAATCAGCCCTGTGCCTTGGACAAATGCTCAAGGCATAGTGATGTTCTTCCACTGAGAAAACCCCTAGAAGGAGAATGATTTGTTGAGAATAACCACCCTCAAGTGCATGATGATAAAAAGTAAAACGTATAATAATAATATAGCTGATAAAAAAACCAAAGTATTATATTTTAGGGTGGTATTTACCTGCTCTGGCTAACAGCAAATTTATTTCAGATCCTAAACCCTCATCTGCGCTGAGGTTTAAGGTCTTTAAATGGCCAGTTACATCTTTTATACAGTCTTTGAGCGCAATACATTCCAGCTGACCAGGATAATCTGCGGACTGACCGCAAGGTGTGCCCTGGGAAGGGGTGACCTTACCTAGAAGAGCTTTGTAGCTACAGTGAGCCATTCAAGAAACGACGAGACCGAGTTAAACAAGGATATATGACCAACGTTGTATTTTCAACCTGTTGCGAAATGTTGTTGTACAATAGCGACGGGTGTGCTCGTGCGCACGGTTGCGTGACTTTCTGGTAAATTTCCTGTCCGCCAAGGATGCACGCATTTCGAAGCGCCACAAATGGATCTGAATATGAACTTTAAAGCCTCTGATGTGTTTTTACAGAAAGTTTGCAATGGTGGACACAAAATGGAGAAAAGGATAAGGTAAATGTAAATTTCGTTTTCGGTTTCAGTCGTTTCATGGTGTCAGTGCCAATTTTACAATAGCGCCGAATTAGTGCAGTCTTTGTTTGTTTGGGTTCGGATTACTTTGTGTAACTCCTTTTCACTTCTGTGTAATTCAACGAAAAGTCATGACTTGATAGTATTAAAAATATTTGGAGTACTGTACTACTCGCATCCTGAGCGCTTGAAACATCGATACAAGGTTGCATTTACAGGATACGGCGCTTTAGGAAGATCAAGTAACTGAAGTAAAAATTCCAGGCAGTACTGAGATATGCGGGGTTAGTAATTATTTTCAACCGATCTTTATTTTGAAACTGTTTAGGTCTGAGAGGCCAAATGTGTTTATTGCGTTTAACCTAATCTAAAACGACTTGTGAATTTCAAACGAAAGAAGATATGGAAAGTGCCCTTCTGATCGAGTAACGGGACGAGAAACCTGTTTTTTCATGTTTGTTGACAAGCGCTGATAATATTACAAAGTAAACAGACTTGTCTCTTAGGAAGCGTACTGAGTTAGACCTTGAAACTTTACTTGGTAAATCTTTAAGACCTATATTTTAGCTCTGCAATGCTTAAACTTAAAATTGTCAAAGGTAAATTTAGTTTGATATATTATAACGCAAGTGATTGTAACTATAATGCTAGATGTTTGTTATAAATCCAGCGCCATTTTGCACGTTGATATTGCTCAGACTTCCGATTCCTTCGAAGGGAAGCGTTTCGAGTTCGACCTTGAAACTTTACTTGGTAAATCTTTAAGACCTATATTTTAGCTCTGCCATGCTTAATTGTTAAAAAGTGACATACCAGGAACATTTTTATCCTGATGAATATTAGCTACCTTTTGCCGCCATCGAAAGCGGTCTCCGAAGGTGTTTTCTAAATGGCCTGAAAAACAATTGTACTATCATATTTGAAAAGATTAAAACATTGGTAGTGTAGAAGATTGATTGCTTTCAAATTCTTTTTATTTTGAGGTCAACTGAGTTCATTTTAAGACTTCGGCGGAGGTTCATCATTGCACCTTTTGATCAACCAAAAAACCGCAGTTTGACCGCATTTTGACTGCACTTTTAATTTTTCTCAAATTTCACAAATAAACAAAATCGTTGAAACTTTTGAATATGATTTTTGAAAATAGTCTACCCAAGGCTAACTTTGGGCAAAATATCAGGAATTCGCCAAAAGGGTCGCTGACCGCCGATTCTCGATCCTTACAGACAGCCACTCTTAATACTTGTCTTCGTGAATGAAAATTATTGTCTCCAGCGCCGTAGCTAGTATGAGGCCAACCGAGGCACTCGCCTCGGTAAAATTTTGTCGAATTTCGCCGATCATTTTTATTTTACATAAGCGATCATCGGATATTTTTAACGCATCATGATATTACAAAGAATTCAGCAATTCAGTCAATATACTATGAAAAAATAACCATATCATCGATCTCAAGGGGCTACGTACGTTAACTCAAATTTTTTTTGAACAAATACTGATCAAAACCATTGGCGAGGTTAACGGTCACCCAGATTATGTAGCTTGTTTCTGATTAGTGCTTTTTAAATTCCACTCAAATTAACTCGAAAAAAAGTTACCGAAAGGCCCAGAAAACGCTGCAAATCGCATTTCCGAGAGACTAAAATTCAAAATTTCTCGGGGGGCATGCCCCCGAACCCCCCTAGCAACTTCCGCCTGCCTCGGTTGGCCGTTTGGTCTGGCTACGGCACTGGTCTCTGTATATGTTTCACCGAATTATTTTTCTTTTATTGATTTTTAGTAGTCTCTTTTGCAGTTTTAATCGGTGTGCCGTTTGTTTTCAGTAGCTCATGAATGTCGCTTGCAGGAGTAGTCAAAATGCCGCGTGTATCAAACGCTTTTGAAGATTACACATCGTTGTAAAACCATTAAATAAAAAATAAACATAAATTCTTTATCATGATGAAGCGTATAACTTTATCAATCTTGATTTAAACAGTCGACTTTGGCGCTTGTCAAAAGTGAGAACCGGCTAGCCGTATAGGTGATTTTGGAAATTTTTTTAACAGTTTCGGTAAAAGCCCACGGGCGCTTCGATCGTCCTGAATACTGGATGAGTGCAATTTGTATTGCAAAATTGTGATCTGTCCGAGCTCTGTATGATAAAAACAGCGCCTCATGCTACTGTTTCACCTCAGATGTGATGTATAAAAAGTATAAAAGGTTGGTTTACGTTGGCAAGATTTTGTAAAATAAATTATAAACGTGTCGAACGCAAAAAATTCAGCCTGATTTGTTTTCCAATAATTTGTTTTCCAGGCCTAATCTACTGTGATCAAGAGCCATTATGGCTCTTGAATGTCATCGAAGATGATTGCTATTTTTTGGGTGTACATATAAGGCTATCAACTCGATGTAAGATTAAGTTCACTCTTAGCTTGGACTGTTTGCAAATTATTTTTCTCTAAAACACTTGGCCTTTCCGTCAAAAGTCACATGAATGTGCTCTAAAGTTGACTGATTTGTGGAATACAATTGCAAGTTTATTGTTTGATTTAAATTAGAAATTCCAGTTAATAGGAGCTTCGCTTTTAGCCCTGGCTTAATCAATATATTAAATTTGTTTTGAAAGGAGAAACTCACATTACTTACAATGTGCAAAGTAAAAATACAGTTTTAAGACAGGAAGATATGCACGATAATCATTTAATTATAATTATGAAGAAAGGTCAAATATCTATAACTTACTAGCCTAATGGATTTTTTCAAAAGAATTTAGAAAGGTCAACTATTGTAAAAGCTAAGATATCTGACATTTCCCTTTACTGGTAAGAATCACTTTAAGTTTGGTGAAGGGTATGTCTGTTGTAATATTTTTCCGAGTGCGGGTAATATTGAACGTTTGTCCCACACGCCATCAGTCATATGCTAATTTGCATTTTTGTCACGCAATGTACCTCCAGTATCGATCCCTTTCTTTGCATAAACAAATAAAGGTTGAACAATCACCTTATTAATAGCGGGTGGGGGGAGGACAAGGACACCGAGATTAAAAAAGAATTTTACAGGGCTGGAAGGATAATATATATTATACATACAACGAAGTGTCAGAGTGATGTCCTGATCGATAGTTAACCTAGAGCAGAATAGAAGTAGACTGATGAAACTGGATTAAATCTTGAACATTTGTTGCTACCCAGAGTTTCATGCCTCTTGCGAGGCAATCATCAGGCAACTGCCAAAATGAACGGTTACAATCAAAGATATAGGTAAAACTGAACAGTAAATACTACGTAAAGTGCCACATTGCTTGTAATTAAATTGATTCATTACCAGAAAAAATCCCTAGCTCCTATTATATCCCAGGGGCACCCAACGACGGTTTCCTCCTAAATGCATTGAGAACACTTTTTAGGCTATCCAGAGTACTTTTAGATCTCTAGAAATGTATTCCAAGTGGTGCTAAAAAAATTTTTATCTGTTGGGTCATACTATAGGGTAACCGTGAGTTTTTTTTCCCGAAAATTTTAGCTGCAATTTAAAGTTTTACGAAAGTTAGGATTTTTCTGATTCCTTTCTGTATCGCATTTTCGGTTCCGGGAATTTTAGGTTTCCTTTCTCTACGAAAAATAGCTTAACCTGGGGTTTGAAATAGGAAAAATTAAACTTCAGAAAATTGTAGGGAATTTATTAGATTAGCTTCGAAAATTGTACATGCATGAACGGTCATCTAATAAATTTTTAGTCTTCCTCAAGCTATAGAAAATTCTAGGCAATTTTGCTTCTCCGAACAGATATTTCACAGAAAACAGTCGTTGGGTGCTGCTGATATGCATTTTTACGTTATTTATTTCTTATTGCCAAAAAGTAAAATGTCACAATAACGATCTTAACTCATATCTATTAAAGAAAAAAAACTGTCCTGCGGACAACTTTTATCCTTCTGGTTCAATAGGTGGATAGCGTGTAAAGATCGCAAAACTAAACTCAAGGACATGGTTATTGACGGAATTTTATAGTCTACGAGTCGTTCACAAATTTGGTGAAATATAAAATTCCATTTATCCTCTTACTGCGATAAACGATTGTTTTGTCCCGGCATGAACTTCAAATCCACGCGCTTAAATGAATTTTTATCAGACCGGCTGCTCCTACCATTTGGCTCCAAGAAAGCCAAGAGTGCTCTTAACACTAACATTCAGCATAATTATGCCATTCTGCAACTGTCATGCCACATGCCATTCCTCAAGTTCACCCCGCGCATTGTACCCTCACCGAAGGAAAATGGGGAATAACCTTGTCTAGACAAAACTTTCGACGGTTTTCGCATCATTCTTGTTTATTTGAGCATTAAAAAAGCGCTAAAAATAAACAAAAACTATCAATCAACCAATTTATACACCCTTAGCTTAAGGGTTACTCACATGATACCAGAATGACTTTCATTCTCGGACGAGTTTATTCCATCTCCTCATATTTCTCTGTATTTGTTCTCGCGGAGCGAGCGGCCGTTAGGCCGCGAGCGAAGCGAGTTTATAATTTTGTCGCGCACGCAGCGCGTGGATCACTCGAGGATCGCAAGCGAACTGCGATTTCGCTTTGGTCATAAATCTTTCTGTCGTTTTGGTATCCGCAGTTGCCTAGCAACAAGCCATAAACAAATCCTAAAGACGCCATTCAACATGACGTCATCGTGCACTTTGGGTTTCCAGGCAACACGTCCAGCGACTTGGGCTCATTTTATTC